TGTGTCAAAGATATTAGCTGTATTGTGGAGACTATGGATAGCAAGCTTATTTAAATATACTGTTTCATGATTTCAGCTAGTACTTAGCAAAAGAACAGGAGGAAATAAGCTTAAGTTGCACCAGGGGAGGTTTAGATTACGTATCAGGAAGAACTTCCTCCCCGCCAGAGTTGTGAGGCCTTGGACCAGGCTGCCCAGGGAGGAGGTGGAGTCCCCATCCCTGGAGGGATTCAAAAAATGTGTAGACATGGTACTTCAGGACATGGTTTAGTGGTTGTGGGAGTGTTGGTTGATGGTTGGACTTGATGATCTTAACAATCTTTTCCAACCTTAATGTTTCTACTTTTAAAAAAAATGTCAATACCTAATACAAAAATCTTACTTTTACATTAACATTTTAATGGGTCTTATATTGACTTTGTACAGTATATAATTATTATTGAAAATAATCAGAGATCTTGCATATTTAATTTTCATCATTGTTTTCTTCATGCTCGAGAAAGAAGTTACATATTTTCACACCAGTTTCTGAAGTTCTAAAGTTTCTTAAAGTGGGATTTGCCTTAGGAAGTATCTAGCCATAAATAAATCACACTTTTTTTGCCACAAATCATCCCAGTTGTGGACTGAACACCAGTTCAAACTGAAGGGGAATAGATATTATAGAAGAGGTTATCAAATTTTGTCCTCCTGCTGCTTTTTGAGCAGGGCTTCAGGCTGAGGTGATCCAGAAAAAAACATCTTCTGTGCAGCCTTTTCTGTGAAAAGTCCTTTGCCAGAAACATAGTGGGCATCATGTGCCAAAGGGCCTCATTGTAGGAAGAACTTTTCTGAAATTTTCCTACCATTGTGTAAAAATTAAAAGTAACTACAGGAATATTTATATGACTTATAACAAACAACCAGTTATTTATGTAATTTTTTTTTTTTAAACAAGGGGAAATTGATCTAAAATCCTATGCTATTTTTAATTTTTATTTTAATACACTGTGTCCATGCATTTGGGAGCAGACTTCGCTCTGTGTGGAAGAGAATTTGCCCTTTAGTACACTAGACAGATTTACTAATACAGTTATTAACTAACCTTAAGGTGCTGGGAAGAGTTTAAGAAAAGCAAAAGTAAAAGAGAGCTTTTGGGTTTTGTTTGCATTTATAAAAAACATATGAAATGTAGCATCAGGTGTCCCCCTCTGGACATTCCAGGAGTACAGTACAATGTACAATACACAGCTTGCACTGTGTTAGGTTCTTCCTGTGAATTTACCTGGTTAACAAAAAAGAACATGACAATTTGGGAGCCAACCAACTCTGCCTTGAGTCCTCTTTAGGGTCTGGGCACCAGAGATGCCTTCAGCTTATGCAGTTGTTTAAATTGAAATATTAAAGGAATATGTATGTTTTTCTAAAGTATTTAGCATCACAGCTTTTTTGTTTGTTCATGTTCATGGTGTGATAAGGAGGAATCTTGTGTAATCATAGATCCAAACTTCACTACAAGTAGATCCTGTCCCTATGAATTATAAAAATGTGAAACAACATAATATATGAGCTGGAGATACAGAAAGAAGCAATACCAGTCATTGTAATGATGAAACTTCTCCCATTGGGAGCAGCTGCTGTCTCCCACCTAGGGGTTGGCTTTCTTCTTTGAGCTCCCCCCTCTTCACAAAAAAGCAATACATATTCTGTGGTGTAAACAGGTATCATATAGGTCAAAAAGCTTTCCAGAGATTAAAAACCACTGAGATCAACACTTCTGATCATCAGTACTTTGGCCAGAGTCAGCCAATTTTGTTAGAAATTAAAAGCTGCACATTCTCACAAAACCAGATTGATGCTAAACCTCAGAATTTCCAAAGTTCTACATAGCGTATCTGAGATCAGGAGCTGTGGTAGACCACAGACTTAAGCTGTGACAAGTATTGCCTTTGGTTTTGAGACGCAGTAATATTTTAAACTTTTTTCCAGTAGAAATTTTTAAATAAATTGCATTTTATGATAAAATTACAACAAGGCTATGCAAGGAGTGTATTTTAATGTGATGTGTCACATATTAGCTGGTAGGGAATGATAACATTCTTCTCTGGGAAACCCACATGCTGGAAACACAATAACTCTGGGAAGGGGTTATCTGAGAGTGCATGTGGAGGGCAAATTGCTGTGCAGTGATCAGCAACCCCCCCAAATTAACGTCTTAATTTCACCAGAATAATTTTTCCTCTGTGCAGCTCTTAACAAAGGTGTGAACGTTGTCTAAAAATTAAGACCTATTCAATCTACATTTGAAAAATTAAGATATGTTTGTAGGTTTTTAGGGTTTGTGTCCGTATTTGTCAAGCCATGGTCAGTGTCCATGCTTGTTCTGTAGCTTTATTTACTTCTGGTTTCATCGCTTGTGAGTCATGAAAGGAGTAAAGAAATTCTGCTGTCTGCCAAAACTATTACTTTTCTTGATGAACTCTATTCTTGTAAATTTTGAGATATGTATTTTTAAATTTTTTTTCATTCATAAAATGCTCTTTTGTCTTTCTCATATCTCTCCCTCCTTGAATATTTTTGTAATTAAAAAAATTTGTAATTTCAAAATACAAGGACTAGTAGGGTGCCATTTGCCCTCCCTTTCCTCTCTTTCTACTTTTGGTGGGAGATGACAGGAATTCAGTACGTTGTGGAAAATGTCTCCCCAAAGGGACATCTGGCTCTTTGATGCACTCCACAGGCAGTTCTCTTGGCAGCTCTGGAGATGCCACTGAAAGATCTGGCACAGTCCTTTTTACATAGAAGTAAGAAAATCCCTTGTTAGTGATGTATGAAATAAAATCCTGGCTGTTGCACCAAATTATTTTGGTCCTACTTGGCCATGTGGCCTACTTTGGTTCACGACATGCCATCTTCTGAAGCCAGGGTGCTGAAACCCGTTACCAGCCTTGATTATTGAGAACCCCAATAATCTGTTAGATTCAATATTGTCAGCCAAAAGTTCCACATATAAAAACTTGTCTTCTAAAAAAAAAAAAAAAAAAAAATTGGAAAAAACCTTTTAACATACTGAAATACCTACTTCATTAAGAATTCTCTGTGTACAAACCCCAAGCTTATTTTGAGACAGAATTGTGGGTTGACTAAATGCAGGATTGATTCAAAAATAGAAAAGTTCTACAACTAGTAAGTTAAATATTTTGTTTTTCCATGAAAATCGAGTGCTTTTCTTCTGTGGTGTGTTGAAGATTGCTGAAGAGTTCTAATACACAAGTTTCAGGAATTCAGTCCAATTGCCAGTCTTTCTTACTTCCAGGAGTGAAACCTTGAAGTCACATAAGTCATTTTGCCATGGAAGTTCACCGTTGATTTTTGTGAGGCCAAGGTTTCACCTATGAATTCCCACCTTGAAAAGCAAACCTCAAAAACCATTATTTAGCTTAAGAGCTTATATGTCCAGATTTTACAGACACTTTATTTTGTCTTTACCAGATGGTATATCTCTAAGTAGCTGTTTCCAAGATAGCAGTCTCTATTTGGCATTTTTGGCTTTATCGTTGTGTGTGATCATTTTGAATTGCAGAAGACAGAGAACCAAGGAGGCTAGGAAAGGTACTTACCAGTAATATTTTTGGCTCTGAAATACTCAGTAGCTACCCTTGCTCATCGCCATCCATCCAACTAACTATGGCCATAGTTAAATTATAAATTGTCTCTGAGGAAGATTTTTTTTTTTTTTATCCTCAGGTGCCTCAGACAAACCCAATGTTGTGCTCATGTCAGAGTGATCAACTTTTAGCCATTTTGTTAGATACAATATATATTGATTTAAAAAATGTCAATTTTGAATCTTTTCAGTATCTTTGAGAAGAAATTACTTGGAGCCCTTGACATTTTAATGCAGTTTGTCTTTTCAAATAGATTTGACTTCTAACGCATGTGATAACAGGACTTTGCTCTTCAGTTAGAGCATACACTTCAGAGTAGTTGTTACCTAAAATATTATCATAAGGCATAAGAAAACACACGATTTAAGTTGCCTTTCATGAACATAATTAAGAATTAATAAGCCTGTACCAATGGCTAGTCCTCAGAATTTCCACTGTTTTGCCTTTTGTGACCCATGTTATTAAAAGTCCATTATTTTTACAGACTTTATTAAATTGGATCTTATTAAAGCATTCTATATTTGCATTTGGTCTTTCATAATTCATTATTATTATGACATTTACTTTTTACCATCAGATCTGAAAACATATCATAAGCTACCCTTTTCTCTTGAAAGAAATGCTAATTTCAAACAGTCCTCTAATGGAAGAGAAAAGCTTTATCAGTTTTTTCATTTATTCAAGATCGTGTTAAGAATACTAATGCTAGACTTCTGTATGCTAATATCCAAGAGCTTTTTTTGGTCAAAAGCTTAGAATTATTGTTTTTTAGACCACACTGCTAAGTATGTCACTGGCAGGGCACTAGTACAAAAGAGAATACAATTCTGAATACCACATTTTAATTCTGTGACTGATAAAAACAATTTCTTGATCTTCTTTATTAAAGTATGCTTTCATATGAAATTATACTATTTTTCTACTTTGCCATGTTTACTAGGTTATGCCTCTACTTAGTTTCTCTTTAGAAGTTTTGAACAATTGATTTAACATGATTATTTAGGGGGAGATAGTTTTCAACTATAGCCTGCAGAATAGTGTAACAGGAAATGTAGTTCTCCATCAAATAAATCCCTGTCTTAACTGATTATTAATTATTTTAATTTAGACAGTCTGAGTTCTATCATATTCCGGTAATGCAGATTCCCAAATTCAGTAAAGATTTCCGTAATTCATTTCTAAAAAGGGATAAAGAGCTCTAGAATTGAATGCAGAAGCCTAGATGTTGAACAGTAGATAACAGTTTAACAGATAACAGTTTTTTTAATTGTGCTGAGTTTAGCCTAAGTATTTCGTAAAAACTAACATTGAAAATATGCCTATAATGTTAACTTTCCTCCCTCCACCCCACAGGTTTCTGACGATGTGCACTAGACACTTCGGGAGTGTTGTAGCCCAAACAATTAGAACTCAGAAGACAGACCAGTTTCCACTTTTCCTTATTATTATGGGAAAACGATCATCTAATGAAGTGTTGAATGTAATACAAGGTACAGTTTTCAATTTATATTGAAAGTATTCCTTATGTGAGTATTAAAACTGTCAGAAGACATCTGTGCTAACCATTTCTTTTTTAAGATGTTCAGAATATGAATTTATTACACAGAAAAAACTTTCAGTTGCCACAATATAAAGAACTACTGTTCATAAATGTATTAATTAACATGATATTAGAGATTGAAGTTGCGATGACTGTAATAGATTCATCCTTTAAGGGTTTTTTTAAAAGTAGAAGCCATATTTCCTAAATAGGGAGCTACACATAGTTTTGCAAACTTATATCCAGTTATATCCCTGATATCCAAAGGATTTTGGCTGCACTTTTTGTGTAGTGCCAAGAATGCATTTAAGTCTTTTCACCTGGTTCCTTCTTAACATGTGGACTCCTGTTGCACATAGTGGGCAGGAATTGCTTTTGCATACCTGCCGCAGTGTTGAGACCCCAGATCAGATCAGAATTTCAGTTACTAATATAATCTCACATAAATGAAGCTCTCTGGCTTTTGTGAGCAATTCTTTCTGGCATAACCATTCCTCTGATTTTGCTGACAGCAAGATGACTTAGATGTGCAGTGATGCCCTCTGACTGCTGTTCTCAGTAACTCTTCAAATTAAAATACATCAAAGAGTGGCTGCCTCTAATTTCTTCTGCTTTCTCCACAAGTTTGCCTTCATGACACCATGTCCTCATTTATTTATTGCTTATATCTTGCAATCTTGATTCTGATTTCCCTATTTTCTTGAGGACATTCAGCCTCAAGAAATACTGCCTTTTACAGGCAGCCTTACTGTTTCTTCCTGCATAGGGGATTAATGATTTTCTTGAGGAATCTGTGGTGGACAAAATAGTTAATTTTGCATGGATTTTGTCTCTGTAGTGCAAGGTACAGCACAACACTAATTTGTGATAATTCTGTCACTCGTGAAACATTTTATACAAATTATCTTAGAAATAGAATTTCTCAGTTTTATAGCTGCAGTGTAGCTCAGCACCACTGAAGTCAGTGGTGCTTATTGGCTTAAGTTAGTTAACAGTTGCAGCAACTTGGTGACTCCAAGTCATAAGACAATGCACCTTTATAATATAAAAATAATGCAACTATATAATTTTTATAGAATTGTATTTATATTATAAAATGAATACGGTCATATAAAATAAATGCATATATATATAAAATAATGCAAAATATTATTTAATTCACTACATTTTAAAGATTTATCAGGTTTTCTGCAATCTTTTGAATGAAACTAAAGTTATCATCTATTGGACCAGCCTTACTTAAATATATCCTTCAAAAAAAATCAGCCGTGCTGTGTTTGTTATTTTCCCATGAATTGGGACACTGGTGTCTGTTAACAATATGCTCTCAAATGAATGATGGTCTCTAAAGTCATGCATGTTGTAGCATGCAGGATAACATTTTCTGCTAAGGTAGCAAGTGCTAGAATGGGGAACAATGAGGCCCTTTCACGGCTGGGTGAGAAGGCATGTTTACAGAAGAGATATAACAATATAGAAACTTAAGTCCCAGTGGCATTTGTTGAAATGCAGACTGTCTAAGTTTGCTTTTGATTTTTACTTTTTCCTGGGATTGGAAACTATGGGGACAGTTTTGTTTTCTTTAGTGGTACTTTGGCTTCTGGTTAGTTTACTCCTTTTAAAACTTCGACCAGCATCACCAATATAAATACAGCTCTTATTGTTCTGCTAGGGTCCAAAGGTTCTTTGGGCTGGCAGTTGTTAAGACTATATTTTTTCTACCACTTCTCATGGTCTAAGACCTTTTAACTACTAAGCCAAGTGGCTGTAATAGGTGGTCTAGTCTTCAGTTTGGGAAGAGAAACCAAAGACTGAGTGCATCTTGGTAGGAAATGAATCTTTCAGTCTTACTGAAGACTGGAGGCATGTTGGTAGGAAACTGTAGGGAGATATCTGTTTTCCTATGCTTGTGCTGTATTTCTTAATATATACACAAACAACTTATTTTTCTGCTATTATTACCTTTGCAGTTTTTATCAGAAATAAATACACTGGAGAGAACATATTATAGTATTTGAAATTTTACTCCTGGCTATACCTGAATAAAAATGTGTGCTCATGGATCCTTTGGATCACTGTACTCTGTTTTTTTTCCATTAATTTAAACTAATCCATTTGGATGCTGCTGCCAACATGGTACCTTTAGTTACCTGACTAGAGCAATTGCTTCAGTTTCGCTGGTTATTCCTCAGAATTCTAAAACTGTAGAATCAATTTCATGTCAGGGAGCCACAGACCTATTACTTTAAAATAACATCAGTGTTTAAAAGAAAAAAAAAAAACTTATTTCATGCAAGAACAAAAGCAATTGTGCAGACTTAAACCACCTAAAATTTTAGACCGACTATGAGCAACATTTGTTTGTAAAAACAATTTCAGATTTTCAATAAGATGGCAAACAACATCTTGCTAAGATACTTGCACTTTCTACTTTTCTTTTATTTTCTTTTTTTTTTTAAATCTGGCTATTTATTAGGGATTAATTCTGAAATTACTTTTTTTTGTTTAATAACTTTAATGATAGGGAGTTCAGCTATCTTCCTGTGTTGCTAGGTAACACAACGGTGGATGAGCTAATGATGAGGCTGATGGCTGCAATGGAGATCTTCAGTGCCCAGCAGCAGGAAGACATAAAGGATGAGGTGAGTGCTGAAAGTTCTGGAGATACCTACTGACTTCCATAAATCACAGGGGATGCAGAATAACCCAGACATTTCTTTAGCCGATGAAGTTGGGTGTGATGAGTTTTAATGTTCCTTTTATCATCAGAAATTAAAAAAATTGTCTCCTTTGTGTATTTATTTGGGTCTCAAAACACATCCTTCTTATTTGCCTTGTCATTTTCAGTTTGTTTCCTTTTTCTGAATATTAGTCATGAATAACCGTTTACTTTTACAGTGGTATTTTAGAGCATAATATACTCATACAAGGAAACACCAATCAGATTTTTTTGCAATGACTAGCTCCAAGTCATAGATAGAAGACAAAAAATAGATTGATATATCTTAAATGGTCATGCTTAAAGGGGGATTAAAAGCAGATGTAGCCAGAACTATGCCAGTACTGAATGGGTATTCAGGACAATGCAAAATGGGTAAGTGATGACAAGACTTTTCAAAACCAGTGTTTCAATTACACAGGAGTAGATACAGCGAGGTATACAGATGAAAGATGTTTATCTGTTACTCTATAAATTGAGTTGACATTTTGAAGTAATGAAGGACTTAAGAGTTTACAGTAATAGGTGTGTTGCCATTCAAGATTATTCTTATCCTGTTGTACAGACATTGATTGACAATAATTCACTAAACATGTTCTTCACATTTAAATCTTATACCTCATTAGTACGAGATTTACTGATTATGGTTATAATAATATGAAGGTATGGTATCTGCACAATATCTGTAGTTCACTTTTTCTTCTTTATTTATGCTACCTGTAATTCATTGGTAAAGAAATTGACTTTAATTTTGTTAATACTGAACACACATTTTAATACGAGGATTACAACAAAAATACAAGGCACAATATAATTGAATTTGTTATTGCATTTTAACAGGAATATGTCAGCTATGTTTTGGGTTTTTTTTTTAATGCTTTAATAAGACAGTAAAATTCACATCACAGATGAATTCCAGGAAATGTTCAGAACTGAAAACTATGAAAGCTGATTGAAAGGGAGAGAAAACAGAAGGAAAGAAAAATGTAAAGGCAGAGAGATAAGTGCAAATAAGGGGCAGGAGAAGGAACTAAAAGTAGGAGTGATAGGATTGAAACAGAGAGAGGGACAGGAGACCAGAACAGCTGTCCAGAGCAGGGGACATAAGTATTTAGGAGAGAAGGTGGGGACATGTAAGAGAGTCATAGACCTGTCCTAAGAAGATAGAACCAAGTGGGCTTGCAACTGTGAAACCTCTGGGTGTAAGGGAGACAAAGCTTAAAGAAAGAGAAGGCTCAGTAGCCTTGGGGCCATGATCCATCACAACACTGGGGACTGGACTGTCAGTTCTTCACTAGGTGGCCAAGAACAGTGACAGTTCAGTAACCCATGTCCCCACTGTGGTGATATGGATCTGACTTCTTGCTCCAAGTGCTCTACCTGTGTATGGAGAATAGAAAATTAATTTTTTCTATATTCCTCTAAAATCTACCATTGTCCAAGTCTTGTGTTGTTTTTTATCACATTTCCTTTTGCTGGGAGCACCAGTGACATTTCTTCCTCAACGGAAGTTTTTTCTAACACACTTTGACATTCAGAAAACTAATGGAAAACTTCGTAAACTTTGGAGGCAAATTTCCAGACACCATGGGTTCTATACACAAATAGGATATTTACTTGTTCCTCAGCTCCACTTGCTACAAGCACAATGCAAATGTGATCTCGGACACTTTCACCTTTGAAGCAGGAAGTTTAAAACACCCCAAAAATAACCTTGCTTTATGAAATTATTATTCCAGAGAGGGAATAATTGACAAGCAGTCTATATTCAATGAGGGCTTTAGGCTGAAAAAAAACCCAGCTGCCTTTTTGTGGTTTGCTACATAACGTAGCTTTCTTTTAAGTCTTGTACTTACTTGACAACTTCAAGTGTTCAAACATCAACGCCTTTTCTTTTTTAAGATCTTACTGCAGTCAGTGCAATTTTTTCCCAAATATTACAATAGCAAACAGGATACAGAGTCCGGTTTCTGTTACTGTTTTCTTAATAGCAGCAATAAGTCATCAGAAAACCACAAGAATATAAGCAGAAAATTCTTTTGTGTTTTAAAAAGAGAAGTCATCTATATATCTCTGCTGTAAACAGAAGTGTGTGTGAAAGAAATAGAACTGGAAACACTTGTAAATAGCAGCATGAAGTCAGTAATGAGTCAGTTTATGCAGCTGAACTTCTCCACTTTGAATTTTAACTTGTGTGCACTTGAAAGCTTCCAACACAGCTCTTGCATAATTCTGTGGAGCACAGCATGTTTTGCAGTGCCCTCTGATGGTTATTTCGGTACAGGATGGCTGTTACCACTGTCAGCTGATGGTGCAGGTGCTCGCTGGGATGTTGGCTGCAGCTGTTCAGACACAGTTTTACAGCCAGCTGATCATTGATGGTGTAGATGGGACAGATGCTCAGAACGGTGTCACTGACTTAGTGTCACCTGAGCAAAGTGAGTCACTTCCTTAGCTGGTGGTAATAGTATGATTAGCTAAATCCTGTGCTTTTGTATCCATCTATTAGTAAAATTTACTGGTGTAGCCTCTGGGGCATATTCCTGTAATGCCAAGTGCTAAAATACCATCGTTTAACTAGCAATTGGATTTAATATGTAGATTTGTATATTGTATTCAATTAAGCTTTTTCATAGATATTTCCAAAGAACTACCTTAAAAACAATGAGATGTGTATGTGTACTCATACTAATCCAACATACCTATCTTAATATACACTGGTGTGTAATTTAGGCACCCGCTTTCCCTCCCAAGCTTACTTAAAGGAAGATGAGTCTGCCATCCCATTCTTTCCCTTGCCCCTCCAAGGCTTCTGCATCAATTGTGAACCATTGGGCCTGTTGTTTGCTACCTGTCAGCTGTGTTGACCAGATGACATTTTGGAAACCTGCTTCTTTTGGACCACACTGTTGACGTGCCATTGTAGATACATGGTCTAGTTGTAATGCTGTCTCTTTCTGTAAGTTTGCTGCTTAAATTGACATAGCAACATGCCACAAATAATAATAAAACATGGTCAGCAGCATAGTGACATTGTGCTCCTGATAAGAGGTGGCCAACAGATGATTAAATGGAGGGTACATTGGCAACAACAGCAGCAAGGCCAACTGGCCAGGAGACAGTCCCCCCATTGTCAGTGCAGTCAGGTCTAGGGTCTGAAGTCCACCCTCAGACTGTGTATGCAGAATTGCTCTGAGGCTACATCAATGACTTCATATATCCAATGGACAGATTTTCCTTTTCTGACCACATTTGCTCCTCTGCCCCACGCTACAAATGTTGAAACCTCAACTCTTCAGGCAGTAGGGTTGGGGATTTTTGCAAAAAGGAAATAAATACTACTAAGGGTTTTCTCCTGCTTGTGAAAGAGGGTATCTCAGAGCAGGGACAACCGGCCTCTGCCACTGTTGATCAAGGTGTGAACTAAGATTTTTCAGGGACTGACTTTGAAAAGAGCATGTAGTATCAGTTCCTCCTAAGTGTCAGAGCCTGTTGCTGGACTTAAGAAAACAAATAATAATTGTAGAATATCGTACGCCCTGGAACATCCGTTTTTCAACACTCTGTTAGCTTGCTTACTTTAATTGGATAGTTAAATAATTATCTCAGTGTGGCATGATGGGTCCAAGTAGATCCGAGTTAGTTCCTTTGTGAGATTAATGTGAAGAGATACATGATTAAATCCTGGCATAACAGCACAACACACCTGTTCTGGGCTGATCATGAACATTTTTTCTCCATTGCCTGAGGAGGAGACTTCTCAAAGGATTACAGTAACACTTTCTGACAAGCTTATACAGGGTGGAGTTTCCATGTAATGACAGGGCTCATTTGATGATGTCTCAGTAATGCATTCTTTTTATTTTTGCTGTCAACATTTATTACTGTAGAAGCATTGACTGTTACACAGCTGGTCCAACTTGTCCACATTTAAGTAACAGTAGGTCTCTGGTCGTGTTTGGGTTTGTCGTTATGCAACACTAGCACTCCTGCTCTTGGATTAGACTTCAAGGTGGAATTGTAATACCCACAGTTGCTGCAAAAACCTTCTTATTTTTACAAATACCAGTTAAAACCTTCAATTCACTTTAAACTGTGGTTGCTGACACACTGTTTTCTTTAGTGTAAAAGAGAGATACTTAAGAATTTTTAAACTGGAAAAACTGTTGTAAACAGGCTCTGACTGAAGATAAGCTGTAGAAAAATGCAGACTTGCAGAGTTGTCCCATATCTGGGTATTTTACCAACTGTGCAGAAAACCAATTGACACAAAGAGTTGAGATACTTGTTTTATTCCAGTTCTGTGCAGAAAAGGGTGTGTATAATAATCAGCTTTAGGTAACTAAAGGTTACATCTTGATTCTATCATCCACCACTAAGACTCTGATCAACCTTGCATTTTATTACAGTTTCTACCCAAACCTTATAAAAACAATGCGCGGACCAGATGCTCACAGTGACTATCTGGAAACCAACCGCAGTGTTCTGGTCCTGGGGACCTTTCCTTCTAGTTGCCATGGTCACCAAACAGACTCTTTGTGATGGCCTAACTTTGTAATTCTCTGCATGCCTGATTTGGGCATTTTTAACTTTTTCTTGACATCAGAGTCACTATCTTTGCTCTCTGATCCTAAGTGACATCTCTGCTTCCTAGATAATGCTTCAACATGAAGAAAATGTAGATCCCTCCAGACCAGTATCTGGATGAGGATTTAAAAAATATGTAAAAGAACAAAAGCTCCAAAAGAGCAACAGAAATTCATCTTCTTTTCCCTGCCACAGCTCTTTGTAAATGTATGCTTGCATGTCCATCCCAACACTGTCTTGTTTTAGATGGGGCTTTACTGGGCAAGCAATATGTTCGTTACTTCACAGTAAGAAGTCTGGTATCACCATGTCTTCGTGCTCTTTTGTCTTGCTGCTGTCAAATGTAAGGGACTTCCTTTTTTTCTTGATAGGATAATTTAATAGTTTTAGTTTCTTGTGAAGCTAAAGCTCGTCTTGTGAAGAGAAAACACCTTTTCTCTTTCTTCTTCCAAAGACAGTCTCGAAGCCCCCCCCCCAAAAAAAAAAGCAGCTAAAGAGGATCAGTCCTAGTGCATTTTCTCGTTATCTGTGGTCTGTTTGCTTTTCTGCACTCTACCTGGAGCTGTGCTCTCCAGTTAGAGGGTGGCCTAAATGCTCCATCAGTGCAGGAGACCCCTGTAATTTCTCTGTAGGCACTGAAGCTCATGTTAAAATCAGGAGAAATTAAGCATCTGAATACCTTTGATAATCTGCGTTCCATCTAACACTGTCAGGTATATCATGGTATATAGTATTTGCACAACAGGAGGTTATGAGAATAAATACATGAAATTCATTAAATTGCAAAGCACAAAAGCGTTGTGGTGTTGACAGCCATCTAACGAAGATTGTGATTTAACCCCTCAAAAAATCCAATTAACACATTTACTAATTATTACTAGTTATAACTGATTAAACTACAGTAATCAAAATTTATTTGATTAAATCTTCCAGTTTTTTATTTGTAATATGATAGCAGCACTGCACTGCACTGCACTGGCACACCAGCAGATCCAAGTGCTTCAAGACTTCAAAAGTTTATACCATACTTTGAACTTTGACAAAATGCAAGTTAATGACAGCAGAAAGAAGGAAGATAAAATGAAAATATCTTTAGTTCATGTGGCTTTTTGGCTTCACATGTTGATGGCTCCAGTCACTGAATATTGGCTTAGCTTCTCTTAACAAACAGCAGCTTTCCCTGTTGCACAGCCTAGGTGGGCAGATGTTGTAGAAGCACCGGCTGGCTCATTTCCCATGGAAAGTCACTGCAGGTTTTGAGTTTGGATTTTTCTTCTCACTTGAGGTAAATCTGAAAAATCAGTATCTGGAGCTGGGCTTTCAGCCTTCACTACAGACAGGCAGGATCCTCCAGTGGTTCTGCATTGTCCTGCACCATCCTGCCTCCCCACCTGTGGTTCTGCCACCACAGAAACCTTCATTTGCTTTGCCTTCATAGTTCTCATATGCCTAATACATTCCGTGTACACTTTTTTCCTTCCATATATTCCCCATCACATGTGTTTAAGCTATACAATGTGCTAGTCTGTCATCTTGGTGAGTCAAATTAATGTCTTTCTTGCACTGGTTTGTTTGGACAAAGGGCTGTTGCTCTTTAACGCTCCCATGAATAGCCTTAAGCACTTGCAGATTTTAATTTCAGGAGTGGTTCAGTGAAATGAACTGTCTTTCAGATAAGCGTTCAGCATTTGCAAATACACTCTTTTTTTTTTTTCTTTCTTGTAACAGACATTTTTTCACTGATGCTCTGGGAAATGTCTTCTGCTCATAGTTATCTTCTCAAGTCCTGTCTCGTCTGGTTTTACTTCACAGTAAAACGGATCCCAAAGTGCAATGGGGTATCACGTATAGCAACATCTCCCTGAGATAAACCAGGTGCAAAGCAGATTCCTGGGATTAAATCATTAAATCCTAACTTCAGAAGCAACAACAATAAATTAATAAAAGCCCATAAGGCTTTTATTTTATCAGGGGTAACTTCAAGAAATGGTTCAGGGAATAATTACTGGAGACAATTATCCTAAATTTCTTCTTAACCTTACCTTTGCTTAGTCTTGTAGCTCTGGATATTAACAGAGAAGGTTTTATCTGGTGTGTTATAACTATCTCATGAATAGCAGCATTCAGTATTTTTGTTACAACTTTGCATCTGTAATATGCATGGTAACAAAAAAAGTTCAGAGCAGAAGAATATATTCTGTAGACAAATGCAATTGTTTTTTAAAGTATCAGCTTTCCATTGAATGAATGTCCTCCCTGTTGTTGCATTGTCAAAATGGGAAAGCAGAGATCTATGATTTTTTCACTTTAAGAAGAAGAGTTGTCTCCTCTTCATCTCATGCCCAAAACCCTGGGATATGGATGATTTATATTCATGTCACCCTTCAGTCACTGCCATGGAATTCAGAAGTGCTGTGTGACCCCTTTTTCTGGAAAAGGCTTTTTAAGTCACCCAAAATAAGCCATTGTCTGTTGACACTTTGGTTTCTTCAAAAAGGAAGATGGCAATTTTGCCTCCATTGCAAAAGTATTGTGGAGATGCATTGGTTGCTACTCAGTCAATACTGCAATTTCTGTAGGGTTTAACAGCAGAATTAGCAGCTACCCCAAGTTTTGTTGATGGATAACATGACATTGGTTTACTTAATTAATAGTGGTATGACTATTCTATTTTTATTCATGTATTCTTTGTTAGTGCAATGAAGGATTCTCTGCAGCAGAATACTTTCTTCTGCTTTCCCTATCACCATTATGAATTTTCTTATGTTGCTTTCTGGTGAACTTGAGTCATACTCATACTGTTTGTGGTTTCTTTTGAGGAAGAGGTAACTAAAATAACAAACTGCATTACGAAAAAGGAGAACTGCTTTATCTAATGTTTAAAATTTGTCCAAGGTGTAACTCAGAACCAGGGGATATGACAGTTTTGCCATCATCTCCGTAGAGGAGGTGGTTCCTGCCAAGTGTGAGCAATATTAACAAAACAGAGAAGTAGGTACAAAGAGACATTTCACAGGATTACATCTGCTTCTTACCTAAAGAAATCTGGATTCCAGATGGTTTGAAGGTCTGTTTCAATAAGAAGAGAGTTGTTTCAGTGTGGTGTAAAGCTTGGTGGCACAGTCATTTACTATTTAGATGTGGCTCACATATTTCTATGAGGACCAGGCAGTCATGCATAGTAATTCTTCACATTCCTGACATCTTTTTCATAATCCACTTTCAGGATGATGATAACTGCAATGAATAGGGAGAAAAGAAATACCTTTTTTTAAATGCCTGGAATTCATGTTCAGATGCTAGTTGTAGAATCTATAGCGTCAGTATTTTTTTGCAGTTGTTATCCAGATTATATAATGTAAACCTATTTCAAAAATTCCTCTGTGAAGCTCTCTGTCAGTAAATGAAGCCTGTGCTCATCACAAGTAACTTCCAAAAACTTACCAGAGTTTTCTAGATAGCTTCTTAAATGTAAAATAAAATCCAGTGCTTATTTTCTTGTAATTAATTAATATATATATTTTTGAGTGAGTTATCAACAATTTGTAAAAACTGTTAATTTTACTTTTTGAGGACTGGTTTGGGTTGGGATTTTTTGGTTTGTGCTGTTTGGGTTTTTTGTAAGTTACAGTAACTGTATGTTAGTTGCTAGCAATCTTTGATGAAGGAAAGAGCCTGTAGTTACAATAGCTTCATCGGACCTTTCAGTTTTCTTTTGTGCATTACTGGACTTGTGTGACCTTTGAAGTTCAGTTAGTGTGTTAAATTAGGTGTGATATATAAAGTGCAAAACATGAACATTAAATAAGTTCTCTCTGAAATAATTCTTAGGGTTTTTTTTTAAATTGTTATCCTCTCACAGATTACCTGAAGACATCTTCCTTTTAATTAGTTCAACCCTCTCTTCTCAGAAATTGAATACTAATGTAGAGTAGGTTCTTCTATCAGGTTTGAGTAAATTTTTGAAGGTATTCCATGAGCATAGTACAATAAAACATATCAAGGTCCAGAGAAGCCAGGAATAGGGATGAGTTATATGGTGGTTATTGTCCTTCTTAAATTTTGCAAGAATTACTTCTCCTTATGTCTTAGCTCTGCTGAACAAATGGTTTGTTCAACAAACAGATGGTTTCTCTATCTTCTGTGAATGAAATTTAGGATATGTTTGTTGTAGAATTTCCCAAATAGTGAAGTTTTGAGAACATTGATCACTTTGCAAAATAATTCCTTTATGTGGAATAAACCTTGCAGAGGGAAGGAATCTATGATTCTGTGAGTTGGAAAATTAGCAAATTCCTCAAGAGGCAGTAGATAGTAGACTTTAATTTCTATTAAATGCCGGGGACAGATTACCCCAGTGCAAGTGCTGTGTTACTGGTAACTACAGGTGACAGTGCTGAGCCCACCAGCAGTCTCACAGCTAAATCTTATCAATTTCTGTAGGGACCAGTGCAGCCTCTGCAGGGCTCTGGGAGGATTATAAGATGTAAGAGGAGTAAGCAGAGGGGAGCAGATGCTGTCTCTAGCTCCAGAGGCAGACTATGAAGCTATTGATTGTACACTTTGCTTTATCAGACATTACCCCAGTGCATTTATTTCAGCTTTCAGGAATATCCACTTCTTGATCTTTCATCGTGTGGTTGATGTATTGTGTTGTCCTTCACATATTTTTAGTAAACCTTTATTTCTTTGTGCTGTGATCATTAATGAGATACTTTGCTAGGTTTGCTGGCTTGAAGTTGGTACACTAACCTCACGCTTCTTCTCTGCCTGCATTTATCTACTTGAGATGCTTCAGAGCAGCACTTGCTACTTTCCCATCTTTGTATAATATTCAGCACTGTGAACTGAGCCCTCTCAATGACGATGTTTAGTAGTTGTGACCTTGGATGTATCCTGCTGAGGGCTTTTTGACCAAGGAAGGCCCTGGGAGCAGGCCGGGCTTGGGCGCGCCAGTCCATGGCACTCCACACTTTGTCATTGAGTTATAAAGCACAACAATGGCTCTGGAGCACCATGGCACACCTTGAAGTTCTAGAACTTCTTGATCAGAACTTCTTGAAAGTTCAACTTTCTTGAAGTTAGGTGAGTGAGGCAGTCAAATATTTTGAATTCACTGGGGTGAAAGAGTGCTGGCAAACATAAAGATATGTATCGTATCAGTCCGCTGTTTGCTGATATTTTTTGTTTTCTTTTCTTTTTACCTTTAGGATGAACGTGAGGCCAGAGAAAATGTGAAAAGAGAGCAGGATGAAGCGTACCGCATATCACTGGAGGCTGACAGGGCAAAGGTGTGTGCAGGGTGAAGTGAGCACATGAATGTCGGGGTGGGAATTGTCCATAGCTGTTGAAATGTCTCTGGTGCAGAGGACTGCTCGCCTTCAGTTCTGCTCTAAAGATGAGATAGTTGCTGGAGGAGACAGTATTGCCTTCAGTGGTTATGAAATGGGACTAGATAAAGGCACCTAGGAGAGGACTGGACTACATCTTTGTTGCTAAAGCAGTCCTGGCCACACTTGATAATAGAAACTGAGAAAGGAATGACACAGAAAGATGACACAATAAATATATTTCTTATATTAATTTGTACAGAAAAGTTGAGAGGTTTCTGTGCTTTAAATAGTTTCTGTGCTTTTATATACCTAATGCACATCGTAAAACAGAGCTGTGGAAAACAAGGTGGTACATAAATGATTCCTGTTTGTCTTTTATTAGAGAGAAGCACAAGAGAGAGAAATGGCAGAGCAGTTTCGCTTGGAACAAATTCGGAAAGAACAGGAGGAAGAACGTGAGGTGGGATGTTTTACTTTTTCTAAGAGCTTTTTGGATTCATGAAGCTTATGGACATTGCAGCTTTCACTCAACACACATTGCAACTTTCACTCAAAGTATACTTTTTATGTGAACCTTATTTTTTCAAAAATTAATTTATTGTCATATATATATATATATGAAAAACTTGGTACAGCTAAATTCTTTTCATTTACTGTTCAGTAACTTTTCTGTTCTATCACATGGGTCACAATTACATCATCTGGGTCTGAACTACAGCCAGGTATTAGATAGGCCTGCTAACAGGAGTTCCATGAAATGAGCTGCATAAATGGTGGAATCTTTGGGAATCTCTAACCTTATTTCTGCAGGCACTCCTCTTAAAAATAGAATACCATGGACCCCTTCCCTTTCTTCCAGGAAGTAGCACAAAGCATAGCTGCAATTCTGAGCAAGCAAGTTGCCAAATTTAATTCGACAGACAAACTACTTTAAAAAAAAAAAAAAAAATTCCAAAATCAAGAAAATTTGTTTTATGGTATATTTTTAAATTTCTAAACAGTATTCTACAGAATCTTCCTTAGAATGAGAACACTTTACATCTCTAGGCCTGTATAAGAAAATAAAACCCATGTGCTGTGAAGAGTATTGTTTCTCAGACTCTATTATTTTGTAGATTCTTTCATTTTAGTAGATTCTGAGGGTCCCAGTGCCTGTCAGAGATGGCTCCTGCAGCCTCTTTCCGTGTCTAGGCTACCTCCTGTCCTAGGTGTGTGTCTATGTAGGTATTTATATAAAGCATCATGTACAAAAATTTACTTATATTAGTGATTTCGTCTTTTTCACCTCCTGGCAAATACAGAATGTGGTGTGGTAAAAAGACTGGGCTGCAGCCATGGTTCTTCTGAAGTCCCACCACATTTCAAAGGATAGGTGAAATAGACTTTTCATTAAAATATTTCCATCTGTTCTGTGAAGTTCTTGAAATATAAGTCATGACAGAACTGCTGTGAAACACAGCTGATCATTGAAAAGGAATTTGAAACCCTTGAATAAAATTTTCAGAATAAAAGTGATATTCACATATAAATGTCTTGACTGAAATCACAGTTGATTGGGGTTCTCCTTTGACTTCTAGGCATACAAGACATTGTGAGCAAGTTGCTAAGGAGTACAAAGCCATATCAGCATCCCTATTGGATATCTATTTCCTGAATGTGTTTCCAGTATTAAACATAAATAAAGTATGAATATATTTTAAAATATTCATTTATACAAAATATCAGAGTTCCAGTATTTTTGGTGGGCTTAATATGATTTCTTTGCTTTGACTGCCATAGATTATTGAGATTTCAAATTTGGAATTATATTCTCATTTAATTCTCCATTTAAAGGCCTTGGAACTCATGGAATTCTGATAAATCACAGCCTTGCTTATTCCCCCTTACACGTGACTTAAATGTATACTTGACATTTCAGTCTTGTGTACTTTGCCGATGCATGAAAAAATTGCATTATACAACTGCAAAAAAAAAGTTGGCTGTGAAGACATTTATCATTCCCTGAGACAAACCCAATAAATAAACTGTATGAGCAATGCATTTGCATATATATATTTTGACCAAGATAATTGCACTAAAACACCTGAACTATTTAAGCTTTCAAGAACCTTCTAAACATGTAAATACTAAATTTAGTCTGAACAATAGTATTCAGTGGTTTTGGAAAGATGAAGGCCACTTCTTCTTTCTCAACCTGCAGTATCTGATAACTTGTTTAGCTCCTATTGTTAACATAAGCCAAGAACAGAAGCTAAAATACAGCTGGAAGAGTAATGCACAAAACTGGTCTGTAAGAATTGCATCAGGAGTAATTGTAAGGTATCAGTTCTGTGAGGTTAATGGCAAAGTAAACCAGTACGGTAGCAGTAACAGACCATTGAGCAATCAGCTCACACTCAGATTTAAGCAGGAAGTATGTCTTTCTTTTTTTTAAGTCATTTTGCATGCATAGAAACAAT